AATTTTAACAAAACAAATACAAGATCTGTATACTGTGAAAGCAACTAAACATCCTTGAGAAAATTTCAAAAAGCCTAGGTAAATGGAGAGAGAGATCATGATTTTGGTTTAGAACACTCATTATTATTAAGATGTCTCTTCAAATTGATGTATAAATTCAATTCAGTCTCAATCAAAATCCCACAAAGCTTTTTTTAAGCTGATTCTAAAATTTGCGCAGAAGTGCAAAGGATTTTTTTAAATATATTTTATTGATTTTTTACAGAGAGGAAGGGAGAGGGATAGAGAGTTGGAAACATCGATGAGAGAGAAACATCGATCAGCTGCCTCCTGCACACCTCCCACTGGAGATGTGCCTGCAACCAAGGTACATGCCCTTGACAGGAAACAAACCCGGGACCCTTCAGTCCGCAGGCCGACGCTCTGTCCACTGAGCCAAACCGGTCAGGGCATAGATTTAAAATAGCTAAATAATTAAAAAAAAAACAACAAATATGGAGATAAAATACATGATTTAAGACTTATTACAAACCTTCACTAATCAGCCTAAACTAAAATACATAGATTAATGGAACAGAATAGATAGTCCAAAAGTAGACCCACAAATGTATGGTCAACTGATTTTTTAGTGATGCCAAGACACTTCAAAGAGGAAGGAATAATTTTTTATAACCAATGGTGCTGAGACAACTGAATATCAACATGGAATAAAATGAACCTCAACCATTGCATCACACTATACACAAAATTAACTCAAAAAGAATAATCTAAGCTATAAAATTTCTAGGAAAAAAAATAAGAGAAAATCTTTGGGCTTTGGGTTAGGCAAAGATTTCTTAAGAAAGAAAAAAATTGCCCTAGCTGGTTTTGCTCAATGGATAGAGCATCAGCCTGCGGACTGAAGGGTGCCGAGTTTGATTCCGGTCAAGGGCACATGCCTGGGTTGTGGGCATGATCCCCAGTAGGGGTCGTGCAGGAGGCAACCAATCAATGATTCTCTGTCATCATTGATGTTTCTATCTCTCCCTCTTCCTTCCTCTCTAAAATCAATAAAAAATATATATTTTTTAAAAAGAAAGAAAAAATTGATAAATGGAACCTTATTACATTAAAAAAATGTATGGTTTTCTAAAGACATTATTAAGAAAATGAAAAGGCAAGCCACAGACTACTAAAAACTATCTCCAATACATACATACATCTAACAGAATTTATAGCATAATATATAAAGAACGTGTGCAGCTCAATAAGACAACCAACTCAACTAAACAAATAGATGGAAAGTTTGGACAGACATCCCCTATACTAAAACATATGACTTGCCCATACACACATTTTTTAAATGCTCAACAATTATCAGAAAAATGCAAAGAGGATGGTGCAGTGTAGTTGTGTAGGGAGGAGATACAGGTAGATTTTATGGAATGATGCTAATAATAGTAATGACAGAAAATTATCATGTAATTTTCATAAAAACCCTGTCCTGTTGTCTCTCCCCATGGATACCTCTAAACTGTATTGGCCCTGTGTGTCGGGGGCTAGCGAGGCATCCAGGCACCAGTCACCTCCCTTTAACAGTCGCTTTACACCCCCCAGGCTTTCAGTGTGCTGTTCCACAGAGCCATGGAGCAGGCTGACAGGGTGGGGGACACGCAGGGGCGCGTCTCGGTCCTCATGGAGAGCATCACCCACGCCATCTTCCTCCACACCAGCCGGGCGCTGTTTGAGAAGGACAAGCTCACCTTCCTGTCCCAGATGGCTTTCCAGGTGAGCAAATCAGAACCCAAGTCACCCATCTCTGTCGATGATGTACTTTATTTCTGAAGGGAAGCATAGACACCCGTGTTTTGGGAAGCCCTTGAATTAATTTTTCAATAAAATAAAATATTTGCATGCATGTTACCACCCATAAGGTATTATGAAAATACCTAGAATTCAAAAATCGTCTAAATTTGGAGGATTTGAGCTGTTTATCTTTGTAATGTTTTTATGTGGAAATTAGGAATATTTTCATCTGAGCCCCCCCCCGCCAAAATGTCCTATGGACTTCTTGTCAGTTCTGTAATCAGAATGTCCAAAGTGTGTTTCAGTTCCCGGTGTGATTCTCATAGTGTCTTGGATGAAATTCCTACACCAGTACTAACGTATAGAAATAGCTCTGCCTTCTGTTGAGTAACTCAGTCCATTGTCATCGCAAGCTTTCTCAATTTGTAAAACAAATTTTAAGACGTTTGATCTAATAGCAGAAGACTTAACTATGAAAGCATATTTCACATATGTTACTTAGAGGCATAAAATTGGAATAAACCATCCTTCCTAATTATTTGCTGTTAGATTTCTGATCAAGGTTTTGAGATCATGGGCACAACTTATTCCTTATTTCAATTATAGAACAGATATATATCTGTAAGAATTTTTGGAAGACTTGATTCTGCTATTTAATCATATCTATTAAGCAGTCACTGCTTCCTGTGTCGTGATTTTGATGCGTAAACCAAATGACTCTCTTCAATTTTTGTGTATTCTCAAGATTTTGTTGAGAAAGGAAGAGATAGACCCTGGTGAATTGGATTTCCTGCTTCGATTCACAGTTGAACACACTTACCTGAGTCCTGTCGACTTTCTAACTACTCAATCATGGAGTGCCATTAAGGTATGTTAGGAACATGGGTTTTCAAATCTCAGTACTCTCAAATGTAGAAATGTAGTTTTAAAAATCCAAGTGACATAAACCACTTCAGTTGTAGAAATATGCCGTACAATGTAATTGATCTTTATATTAATAAATTGAGTATTTTTTTTGCTTTTTAAAAAAATTTATTTTTCATTTATTGTTGGCACACAATATTATATTTGTTTCAGGGGTACAACTAAAGTGACTGATTTCTTATTGGAAGTAAAGGAACGTTTGACCATTTAATGGGCAGAAAAGTTGTTAATGAATATGTATAGTCTTTATGACCTTTGAAAAAAGTCAAGAAATATAAATGAATAATTTTTAATCTGCCTGGTGCTACTTTCTTTATTTTATAATTAGGTGCTTATTCTCAGACTCAGGAATTCCTTTAAGATGCTCATCATATGCTAAGCTTGGCCCCACCCTTTTTTTCTAAGAAAAGGAACCATTTCTATGCATTGTAGACTTATTTTTATGGTGTATTTAGATCTTTAGTTTTTAAGAAACAAAATGTTAGAGTCCAATTTATTTACAATCATACTTCAGAAGTATAAATTCAATTGTGTATTGGTCAGGGCCTCAGGAGAAAACAGATGGCACATTCAAAGGGGAGAATAAAAAAAGTTTAACAAAGGGTAGAGTATATTTTCATAGTAAGGGAGGGAGAAATAGAGAATCAACCAGGAATGGAGATGACAAAAGGAAGGAAAAGGAGCAGTTACTAAAATGACTGAGAAATAAAGTGATGGGAGAGAGCCAGCCTACAGGAGCTATGGCATTGAGTAGAGGAGCATGCCCAACTGGGTCACTTCAGAGGCAGAGCTGGTGAGAAATACACTGACCTCTCTCTTCCCCGTCCCTCTAGTCCCTTGCCATTGCCTCCTATTGGACAAATCCAACCAGGCCAGAGAACCAGGGAGCTTCGTCCAAGAGACTCTTAGAAATCACCTCTTAGCAGGGCAGAAAAGGGTGCAGGGTAAATCCGGAGAGGAAATAAAGACTGTCCAGCACAACTTGTTTACAGGATTCGATGCAGGCACAAGTTTCTATCTCAAAGGCTCGAGATAAACTATTCCGGTCCGTTCCCCTGTTGTATTACAGGCAGTAGCCCTTATGGAAGAATTTCGAGGCATAGACAGAGACGTGGAAGGATCTGCCAAGCAGTGGAGGAAGTGGGTAGAATCCGAGTGTCCGGAAAAAGAAAAGTTACCGCAAGAATGGAAGAAGAAAAGTCTAATACAGAAGCTGATTATCTTGAGAGCAATGCGCCCTGACAGGATGACCTATGCGCTCAGGTGGGGCAGTCAGCATCTTCGGAAATGCAAGTTAACCGGGAGGAACAGTCTTCAGGGGCTGGGAGAATCTGCCGGAGGCATTTTCGGTCCATACTGATGAGAAGTGATTCTGCTGAAATGTTGATACTGTGCTCACTCCTATTGTTAAACTTTGCTCAACACGATACAGGACATCCTTCCTGAAAACCTTGATTCTGAAATCTGCAGGGGAGACAGGGAGAGAATGGGAATATTTTGGGAAGAGAGGTGGGTGTCAGCAGAGTGCAGAGGCCAGGGAAATGCATGATCCAAGTGTTAATTTCCATTGACTTTATGCTGTGGTGGCATTTTGGCTCCAAAGATTTTGCATGTCAAATAAAAATGAATTCCTTTCAAAGAGACACTCAGAGTCCCATAACTTTGCAGCCGGCACGATTTAAAAGCAGAAAGCCCTGTCTACATCTTGGTTCAAGCGTCCTTTTTCTCTGCTGTTTTGGCTTCCAAATGGTAATATGCTGCTTTATTCACACACGTTGCGTTCTAATTTGAATTCACCGACCAGAGTTCACAACGGCCTTCCCTGCTCCTCTTTCTTTAGTGGTATTCACGCGCCTCTGTTTTTTCCCTCCGCTTTGTCTAGTTCAGCCGGTTTTCCCTGTGCAGCCTCCTCTGCCGAGCCCTACTTTACAAGTGAATTCTGCTCCGTGCTACTTACTTTCTGCTAAATCGGGTGCTGCTGGAAAATAATCCCTGCTTAATGGAGCTTCCCTGTGTGAGAAACACCCCAAAAAGCATTTGTATATTCATGAGAAGCCCAGCAGGCTGGAAAATTGCACTGTGGCAAATCTAATGAGCTGTTAATAAGTAATGGGGGGTCTGGCAGGGGACTGGGGAGGGGATACAAAGCTGTAGACAGGCAGCTGATGGCTCTGAGGGGTGGTCTCAGTAGCCCCCCAAAATAGAATGTAGGCTTCTGGTTTTCAGAGCTTCCCAAGCGGAGAGGGGTCCCCCTGGCCATTCTGCATGAGTCCAGTTGGATTCATATTGTCATTCTAGCACAACATTCCATGTGAAGAACATGTTTGCTTTCTTCCTGTGCCTGTGGTTTAAGCTCATCCAAGTTGTGACACTTTGCAAGGTCAAAAGCAAGCACTGGTCATAAATTTTGCATTGTTTTTTTATAGGAATTTCGTGGAGGAAAAACTGGGTGCAAAGTATGTGGAGAGGACCAGGTTGGACTTAGTGAAAGCCCTTGAGGAAAGCAGCCCGGCCACCCCAGTGTTCTTCATCCTGTCTCCGGGGGTCGATGCCCTCAAAGACCTCGAGGTCCTTGGTGAGTGGCCAGGCGGCTTGCTGGCCCGCCCTCCGGCCTTTCTTCCCGTGCCCGCCCTTCCTTTCGATTGTCAGTTATCTCATTTTCTTTGATTTTTCTTTTCCCATTTGCTGGAGATTGAGCATTTGGAAAACGTTAGACTAATAACACTGTAGAGTCTGAAGAAATGTTCAAATGGCACATTCCTCTGGTTAGCATAATGCAAGTTTCTTTCATACTATTTTCCACCTTTTGACTATGTGAGGGCCAGAGGGCAATTTTCTCCATGCTCATGTACTCTGGTGCCCCCTACGACTAAATAATGGTCATTAGAGCAAGTCTGTTCGATTGTGCGAGGCGCCGTGGCTTTATGCTCCGGATTACTATTCCCCGCGGCCTGTGCCGAGAATACCAGGTTAATGGAGCCGTGACCTGGCTGTGCTCAATTCACGTGCGGCCTCACCAGGTGAGAGGCTCCTGCATTTACCCAGCGAGCCAGTCCCTTCAAAACACGATGTGATCTCTACCACATGTTGCTCCTTTTTATGAGGGAATTGCTTTGCTACTCCTGCTAGAGTTTATAAAGCTCGGTAACAATGCTCGCCATCTATCAAAATGTCAAAAGCTTTATTACCATAAAACCAGAGGAACCGGTTTTCCGAGGGCCTGGGGTGCCTGTGAGGAGGCAGCTGTGGAGAGCTCCAGAGGCTGCCTGTTGAAAACTCAGAGGTTTAGTTTGGATCCTGCAGGAAAGTGACCTGGAAGGGAGCCGTGGTGACCGCGCACGGGCACAACATTCCAGGCTCCACTCGCCTCCTGACTCATTTTCCCGCCCCGTGTTGTGTCCTCCCACAGGCAGCAGGCTCGGGTTTACCATGGACTCGGGGAAATTCCACAACGTGTCTCTAGGGCAAGGGCAGGAGGCAGTGGCGGAAATGGCGCTGGAGACGGCCTCCCAAGCTGGACACTGGGTCATCCTCCAAGTGAGTGCCCCGTCCTCGTGGAAAACACTGGATCTGAACACAGGGAGCTGCCCAGCCACCGGGAACAATCCTTCCTCGCGTTCATGGTGGTGTGGGGAGTCCAGTGGGTTCCCTCAGCATTAGTGACCCCTCCAGAGGTGCCTAGGGGCTCTCCTGACACGGATGGCTATCATCTTTTGAGGGATTTTCTAGGCATTGTGCCTTAAAATGAAAAACAGCAGAAGGAGGCCCTGGCCGGTTTGGCTCAGTGGTTAAGAGTGTCGGCCCTCAGACTGAAGGGTCGAGAGTTCAATTCCCAGTCAAGGACACATACCTCTGTTGCAGGTTTGACCCCTTGTCCAGGTTGGGGCATGTATGGGAGGCAACCAGTTGATGTGTCTAGACACATCAATGTTTCTCTCTCTCTCTCCTTCCCTCTCCTCCCTCCCTTCTACTCTCTCTATAAAGAGTGGAAAAAATATCCTCAGGTGAGGATATATATGTGTATATAGATATAGATAGATATAGATATACGTATAGATATAGATATAGATATAGATATAGATATAGATATAGATATAGATATAGACACATACACTAGAGGGAGCCCTAGCATTCTCCTGACTCAGAGATACCTGGGACACTCCAACAGAGCTTGAGGACACACAGGTTTGTATAGATTGCCAACAGCCCTGTCATAATTTCTCTCATTTGCATCTTGCTTTAAAGTTTATAAATTTTCTCATACAACTCTGCCCCCAACTAGTTGTGTAACGTTCTCTCCACACAGAATAATTAGAGAGGAGACAATCCAGGCTTGGCTATCCCAGTTCCTGGAGGATTCTAGTATCTCTTTAATTTACAGTTAAAAGAGAAGCAATGAGACTTTGAAGAAGAAAGAGACCAACAACATGGAAACTTATTATGTTGTTTATTATTTACAGTAAATTATATCAGTGTAGGGGTATGATATGTATGCATGCACATATTAATAAGTTCTTAGCCAAACTCTATAATGTTCACTTATTATCAGACATAGCCCCTCGAGGGATACTCAGCAATTTATCAAAAGCCCACACTCTAGAGAAAACTATTACAAAGACGCAGGCTGGCAGCTATCTTATCTCAGATCCACACCAGATGGTTTGTGAATTAACATAATGGGTTTAAAAAAGTTTTTTTTTTATTTCAGAGAGGAAGGGAGAGGGAGAGAGAATCATTGATCGGCTGCCTCCTGCAGTCGCCCCACTGGCGATCGAGCCTGCAACCCAGGCATATACCCTGACCAGGAATCAAACTGTCACTTCCTAGTTCATAGGTAGACGCTCAACCCCTGAGCCACTGCGCCGGGCAACATAATGGGTTTTCAATATCATTTATCATGGGCTAAAGTGGGTGGTTCTCAATATATGTGGATTGGCTGAAAAGTTCACGGGCCTTGCTGCCCTTGGACAAGCAGGCGCAAGAATCTCACCAGCCCCAGAGCCAGTGTCCTGAAGGATGGTCCCCAGGCTGGATCCCCAAGTGTGCCCGTGTCCACTGCAGGGCTCACTTGGAGGTATTCTGGCCCCTGACTCCCACGTCAAGGCCTAGAATATGTTTACATGTGTTCCAAGTAGACTTTTCAAGTAAGGGATCGTTGTAGTCCATAAGATATAAAATTAGGACATGCGGGGTGGGCAATGGTAGGTTTACAGTTGTAATACAAATAATGCAATAATTCATAACTAATACAAGAATAAACACTATTTCACATACTCACAAGTGTAAACCTACTTTTGCCTACCCCTGGTTTTGCAGAACAGGTTTTATTTTTGTTTCTGGCCCTGCTTGCTTGTATGAGTGGCACAATTAGGTGTGAGAAGTTCTCTCATTATAATCTAGTAGCAAGCATGTAGGGGAGGAAGCTTAGAGAGAGCCCTCACCTACTGTATAAGTTTGCTTGGGTTGCCATGCCAAGGTATCGCAGATTGGGTGGCTTAACCAAACAGAAACTTAATTTCTTATAGTTTTGGAGGCTAAAAGTTCGAGACCAAGGTGTCAGGTGAGGTCTCTCCTTGGTTTGTAGGTGGTTGTCATCTCCCTGTGTTTTCACATGGTCTCCCCTCTGTGTGTCCCAATCTCCCACTCAATTGGATTAAGGCCAACTCTAATAACTGTATTTAGCCTTATTTACCTCCTAAAGGCCCTATTCCAAAGTCAGTCACATTCTAAGGCACTGAGGGTTTAGGACTTCAGCACATGAATTTGGGGGCACACAGTTCAGCCCATGACACCTCCCAGTGTTCAATGTTTGCCCAGGGCAAAAAAATAATGTGAACAGCTGACTCAGCATAGGTCATTTTACAACAGAATTGTTTCAAAGAAAGATACCCACATTACTATTCCCATCCCTGTTTGCCTTCATTCTTTGTATTTTTGTAGCTGTTATAATCATAATTTTTTTCTTTGTTGGAAATGATAATATATCCCTGGGGGTGATGTTTCCTTCACTATATCAAGGATTTCTCCAAAGCCTGGAGCATGTGAGGTGTGGCTTTATACTTCTCTCCCAGCACCAACTACCAAGCTTAGTATTAGAGAAGCAAATTTGTGAATCATAAACCTTAAAATCAGTGGTGGTGGTGGTGGTGGTGGTGACCTTTCTTTCTTTCTTTCTTTCTTTCTTTCTTTTCTTTTCTTTTCTTTTCTTTTCTTTTCTTTTCTTTTCTTTTCTTTTCTTTCCTTCCTTCCTTCCTTCCTTCCTTCCTTCCTTCCTTCCTTCCTTCCTTCCTTTTCTTCCTTTCCTTTCTTTTCTTTCTTTTCTTTCTTTCTATCCTCCCTGGAGGATATTTCCCATTGATTTTCTAGAGAAGGGGAAAGTTAGAGAGAAGCATTGATGTGAGAGAGACACATCCATCAGTTGCCTCATGTACGCACCCCAAGAGGGTCGGGGAACTAGCCTGCAACCAAGGTACATGCCCTTGACCAGAATAGAACCCATGACCCTTCAGTCCACTGACCAACGCTCTATCCACTAAGCCAAACTGGCTAGGGCAACATTTTTTTCTTTTGTAATTTCTGACAGCTCTAGGTTTTAAGAAAAATAGCATGGTAGGAATACATAGACCATCTTAACAAAGGTTGATTGCTTTCTTTTTCCGCTAGCCTTTCATCCCTCACATCCATTTGAGTCCATATTCTAATGAGCAGGAGTTGAGTACAAGAGGTTTCCATCAGAAGTAATGAAGTGGGTGATCTGGTACATTTCTGGCCTTTAGTTTTTATACTTGATTAAACTAACCCAGATAAGTCTCAGTAATTGAGTTTGGATCTTAACAAAGAAGAGTATTGGGCAACTCCATCTCAGAAGTGATGGGTGGGCGTTGGAAGCAGGTAAGTGTGTTGGAAGGAGATTTGGGTTTATAAAGACAACTTGTGTTGACTTGGATCACTTAATGTGTTCATTGTTTAAATTTATTTCTTGTTTTGTTTTGTTCTCCTAACATGATAAAAAAGGAACATTTACATCATGGTTCTCTGAGTGTTCAACACATTGATGTATAGAAAAAAATTATTGTAATTCTATAATTTTAGTAATAGACTTGAGTTTCACAGGAATTACAAATCATACTATCTTTCAGAATGTCCACTTGGTGGCCAGGTGGCTGGGAACCTTAGAGAAACTCCTTGAAAGATTCAGCCAAGGAAGCCACAGAGATTACAGGGTTTTCATGAGCGCCGAGACTGCACCCACACCAAGTGAACACATCATCCCACAGGGACTCCTGGAAAATTCCATCAAGATCACTAACGAGCCCCCCACAGGAATGCTGGCCAATTTACATGCTGCTCTCTACAACTTTGATCAGGTAAGAAAGGAGAAGTCGGGTCTGACTCTAAGTCAGGGTCTTCTCCCAACACGGTGGAACCATCATCTGCTCATGAAACGTGTACCGAGGGATAAAGTGAATCTTGGTGTGAGTGTGTGAGTACGTCTGTGCTTAACTTTTTCTCTAGTACCTTCTGGGTCAATACCCAAACCAATTCCTTATAAAGGAATTATAATAATTAGCTATCTAAGACTATAGCTTTGAAGAATACAGTTAATTACTTAATTAAACTATTGAGTAATTTGTAGCGTATGTAAACACAAAAGACTGTAAACAGAAGGGACTCAAAAAAACGGATCAGTTACACATTTGCAGTATGCTTTTTTGTGAACAACAGTGGGCATGTATTTGTTTTTTAATTGCCCCTCGATTTATAATTTCTGGCTGTTATTACATTCTCAAAGTAAGTACAAAAGAGGAGTTCGATATATTGAAAGAGGGTTTTATCTAACTCCCTAAAACAATTGTCTTGATTGGTGAAAAGTGAGCATTTCTTTAACAATTATGCTTCAGTACAGTTGTCCTTCAGCTTTTGTGTTTTTTTTGGTTTTGGTTTTGGTTTTGTTGTTGTTGTTTTGTTTTGTTTTGATAAGGACCCCTTTGATAGTCTGATAAAATGCACATTTTCAAAATGTGCTGTGTATAGTCATAGGGATAAATAGATCCCTCAAGCCTATGCATGAAGTCCTCCAGCTAAAAACCACTAGTTCTAGTTTATTCGTGAAAGTATCAGTCCTTTTCATTGCTATCTGGAAAGCCATTTTTATTAACTGAGGGTGATATTTATTGGCAAGATTCTTAAGAATTTCAAGGAGTATGTTATTTCTTTTTTTTAATATATTTTATTGATTTTTTACAGAGAGGAAGGGAGAGAGATAGAGTTAGAAACATCGATGAGAGAGAAACATCGATCAGCTGCCTCCTGCACATCTCCCACTGGGGATGTGCCCGCAACCCAGGTACATGCCCTTGACCGGAATTGAACCCAGGACCCCTGAGTCCGCAGGCCGACGCTCTATCCACTGAGCCAAACCGGTCTCGGCAAGGAGTATGTTATTTCTTATCTAGTGGAAAGGATGTTCTGAAATATTAAGACTAAATTTGATCATAAGTAGCAAAATCGAAGTGATTCACTAAATGAACTTCCCAACAAACCTCCTTTGGCCAAAACTAAACACAAAAATGGAAACTAAAGAAAACCTAAAATTTTAAAGAGTCTTTTATGAATGCTGACCTGTCATTAAACTAGAAAACAAGATTTGTCTTTAATCCAGATTATGCAATTCACAGGAATTAACCTGTGCTCCCTAGCTATCTGTGAAGAGGTTCGCAGCCCCTTTTTATCAGAATTGTGGTTAGACACTTATCAGAAGTATAAAAAAACCAGTGGCTTAAATTAAACAAGGTTAAAAATTATTTCTACCATGTGAGATTTCTGGAGTTAGGTCATTCAGAGCTCCTGTGTGTCACCACAAAGTTGTCAACAACCCTGTAGGATGTTAGGTAACCTAGATCATAACTCCTAAATAAATGTTTGTTAGATCATAACTCCTAAATAAAAGTTTATTAGATTATAATTCCTAAATAAAAGTTTGATACTTCTATTTGGTCCCCTACAAATTTCTTACCAACAGTAATATATTTATATGGTTTCTCTTTTCTGCCTTCACAAGGTGGCCTTTTATTTGCTGTATAGTTGTAGGAAAGCTATTTTCAAGGGTTGTATATTTTCAAACCCCTTAAGCTTCCTAGTATGTGGCCGGGCCAATTCTAGAACCGTATTTGGTGGTAGCCCTGGATTCCGATGAAAGTGATACAGAAAGAGACTAAAAAGCTCTCCTGGACCAGAGAACAAATCTAGTCTTGGTTTCAACTTTTACCAGAAGTCCCCCGGGAGACCAGCTCTGAAATCCTCCCCCACCCAAGGATGCTAAGTATCTTTGTAGGTGGCCCCGGTTGTCCGACTGGCTGTCCTTTGGCCATTTTGAAGGACAAGGCAGGAGGGTACGGATTTGGCCTTGTTTTCTGCTGCTGCCCAACCTCAGCGGAAGGAGTCGTCCTTGACTTTTCCTGTTTGCCTCAGACAACTGCCAAATCTGAAGGTGGGTCAGGTACTACCTGTAAACCATAAATCAGTTGGCTCTTTTTTACCTTTTAATTTCTTGGCTGTTGGGGCCATTGACCATATCCATGTAACATACCAGGACTCAACTTTCCTTTTGCATTAAAAAAAATTTTTACAGATCTTGTCTAGGGGGTATATATTTTTTTAATCTTCTATATGCCATTCTATCATCCCAGCAATGAATTTTATTTCTGGTTCATTGGAAGGAAACCATTGGTCTTGGTGGTTGTATTTGTGGAGGTCAGCACAAAATTATAGTGATTCAAACAAGGTAATTTCTCTCATATATAACTGGCAGCTCTGTCCATGAGATCCGCCACACACCCACGCTGATGGGTGCCTCTGCTAGTCCTAAATCTGTCTTCTATGAGTGTCCAACCATCACTAGTTTTAGCCTACAGAAGGAAAAGAGCGACAACCAAGGCAAACAATTTCCTTTTAAATAGAGGACTAAGTTAGACACCTCACTTCTGCTCAAATTCTGTTGGCAAGAACTTGGTTATGTAGCGCATCTGGCTTCAAGGGTGGCTGGGAAGTAGTCTTTGGATGGCTGGCCCAGTGCCCATATATTCTGTATCACGATGAAACCAGGGACAAATCGTATTTGGGGTTAAATATCTGTCACCCAACTTTGACAAGGATAGTTTTGCAGGGGGGAATGATGTCAAGCAGAATAGTAAAATGCATTGTCTCAGTTTCTAGTGAAGCATTCAGAAGAATAGCTAAAGCAAAAGAAAAGCGTTCCTCTTGCATCAGCAGACTGGCAAATGCGAAACAGACAGTCTCCTACGATGCTCTCCTAGGACACACCCTGCTAAAAACTGCACGTCATCTCTATCCCGGATCTCCCTCCAAGTCCTTCACGGGATCATTGAGAACTCGGACCCTTGCCCTTGGAAACCGTACAGGTGGGTAATGGAACATTTTCCTTTCCTCCCAGGATACACTCGAAGTGTGCTCCAAGGAGCAGGAGTTTAAAAGCATCCTCTTCGCCCTGTGCTATTTCCACGCCTGTGTGGCTGGGAGACTGAGGTTCGGCCCCCAGGGCTGGAGCCGCCGCTATCCCTTCAATCCCGGGGACCTCACCATCTGCGCCGACGTCCTCTACAACTACTTAGAGGCAAACCCGAACGTAAGTGCCAGTGGGCAGATAACCTCTTCCGAGGCGTGGGTTGAATCTGTCAGGCTTTGGGCATTATCAAAACGGACTGTAATTTCTCTTTGGAAGCTATTATTGAAATGGCTGACACTCGCTACGCATCGTCTGCTGAGTGTGAAAATAAACCAGATCAAAGGTTTCCTGGCAGTGTGGATGCTTGGATTTCGGAAGATAGGTCAAACCAGTTCTACATCAGCAGCTTCGTGCAAAAAAAAAAAAATGTCCTTCATTATGTTAACAAAAACAGTGGTTTACATGTGCATGGATGCCAGATTCATTAGGCAGGTAATGAAGCATTTGCACAAATGTAATTACATACAGCAATTCTGACAGTTCATAACACTGCATTAATAATCACTACAATTAGTCCTGATGATGGAAGCAATTTACAGCGCGTCACCAGGATAAATAATGGTGCATTTCCTGCATATGTCATTATTATGTATTAAGGATGCCACCTTGTTGTGACTTTCTCAGTAATGTTCCCCTTGATTTGAAGTTAAAGGTAGATGAATGATTTTATCTTGTAGCTCAAATGTGTTTTACAGATGGGAACGGCAATGCTTCATCAAGAACATTTGTGTAAACTCTTATAAACCCAACGATTGCACTTCAGAAAGGAGCCATTTGTAAGAATGTTCTGGCTTAGTCCTCATAAGGGGGACTTTTTCCATTAAGTGAAATTTGAGATATATTTGTCAGAACCACCCAGGCATGCTCTAGGCCACACTCTCTATAAGGGGCCTTTAAAACAACTCATCCATTTCTCTGTGTACAAGTGACTGTTTTATGTCCTTTTATGTCCATTGTTACGATTTTTGTTATCCAGGTTTTTTCAAATTTCAAAGGTGATTTGACTACTGTCAGAATGTGTACACTTGGTACGTGACATGGGTGTGTCCTCCCAAGAAACACATTTTGAATAAGTGGTACCCAAAGTAAATGGCCTTAATATGGTATGTGATGATCAATATTCATCATTTTTTAAATTGATGAAATTAAAAAGTAAGTCCACATACAGACCTTGAGCATATTTTGACCCTTCTAATAAATATTTTCTGTTGATCTTAGCATGTTTTGTTTTAAATGTCACACGTAAAATTGCTTATTGTAATAGTTCTGGGTAGAAAATGAAATAGACCACTTAACACTTTTACTCAAGTCTTTCATAACTGTCCCCCATGAGGTTGACCAGTAGTTTTATCCTATTTCCAATGAGCCTTGTACATGATTGAGATAGAAATCAAGGGGAGAAAGAGAGGAGTTGACATGATACATATATATAGTATTTTTCCTTTAGGGAGAGAGGAAGGGAGGAGAGTGAGAAACATCAATGTGAGAGCAACATCTATTGGCTGCCTCCTGCACATTTCCCACCCGGGATCGAGCCTGCAACCGGACATGTGTCCTGACTGGGAATCGAACTGGCAGCCTTATCAGTGCTTGGGATGTCGCTCAACCAACTGAGCCACACTGGCCAGGGCCAACCTTAGGTTTTTAACACACCCGCTTGTCTCTCAGATGTCTTGACCTGAGTCATTTGCTACACATTGCAAAGCAAGTGACAAGCATTGGTGAATTAAGTTAAAATGTGCACATAGTTTGGTTTTATAAGACACCTTTTCAGGAAGGAATCTGTAAAATGCAGATCAGAATTTGCAGATCAGAATTTGAGGAAAGAGAATTGGTTATTAAAAAGGACAGACTCCCTAGCTGATTAAACCTTGAGGGAGATACATACTGGATGGTAAGATGCATAGCGGCCGTGAATTAAATGTAATCGCAAGAGAAATAAAATTAAGAAGTCTTTTATGGAAGGTAGTCCATGGGGTGGTTGAGAGAGAGAGCATGATACAGTCTAGTCCCTTCTCTTTTATTTTTCATTCACATCAAACTGGCTTAAAAGAGAGACATATTTGAGGTTCATTTATTCAAATTCACATAAACTTGTAGCTAGTACATTGGACTAGCTGAAGCAATTTTACTTGTTCCGTCACATCATGCAACAAAGGAAGGCTATAATTAAGTTCTTACTTGAACTGTTGGGAGGCGGTATATTGCCCCCGAGGGTATAAAGGTTCCTGTCTAGAAAGGTTTCATCACAAACTGGCATGTTTTGCAAACCCAGAGGAAGCTAAAGGGTAGCAAAGAGAGACTGCAAACCACTGCGAGGCCAAATACAGAGGAGGCAGAGTGATTTCTTGAATAAAACATGGCACAGTCATTAGTTACAACCCCTCAACTAGTAGGTAGGCCAGTCATGACATAAAACAAGCCCTCAAATCAATCCGTGGCAAGGGGGTTGGTTTGCATGAACTTCTGGAGGTTGACGGGATTCAAACTATACCCCAACTCAAATTATTTTGGGGTTTTCTTTTCCTGAGCTAGACCATAAAAACATGTCATATGTCCAAGGCCCTGTGAGCCAATACCCTCTCATGATTTTTGGATGAGCTTTTGTATGTGTATACTCCCCCTGCATAACATGTTCTAGGACTGATTCAGTTTGCTCTAGAATCTGCATAAAAAGCCCAGTGTTAATGAATTTCCACTGAATGTATTAAAACACTGGAAATGATTCTCTCAAGAAAGTCTGTGCAGAAGCCTGGACAGTTTCTGAAGGTCTTTTACAAGGCCAGTGCTCCAGGCCGTGAGCCTGTGGGGGGTGGGGGAGGTTGGGGGGGCATTGAGGGGCCATTGTGTTAGAGGGGCTTGTGGAGGCACATGTGCCTGCCGCCCGTCAACAGGCTTGATCCCCGGTGGGAAATGTGCAGGAGGCAGCCAATAGATGTTGCTCTCACATGGATGTTTCTCACTAAAGGAAAAAAACTATATATATATCTGTATGTATGTATCATGTCAACTCCTCTCTTTCTCCCCTTGGATTTCTATCTCAATCATGTCCAAGGCTCATTGGAAATAGGATAAAACTACTGGTCAACCTCATGGGGGACAGTTATGAAAGACTTGAGTAAAAGTGTTAAGTGGTCTATTTCATTTTCTACCCAGAACTATTACAATAAGCAATTTTACTTATTTAAAACAAAACATGCTAAGATCAACAGAAAATATTTATTAGAAGGGTCAAAATATGCTCAAGGTCTGTATGTGGACTTACTTTTTAATTTCATCGATTTAAACAATGATGAATATTGATCATCACATACCATATTAAGGCCATTTACTTTGGGTACCACTTATTCAAAATGTGTTTCTTGGGAGGACACCCCCATGTCACGTACCAAGTGTACACATGCGGATGCTCTGGGCCTGGAAGTGAACATTTGCGTGATCTTCCCCCCCAGGTCCCATGGGAAGACCTCCGCTATCTTTTTGGTGAGATCATGTATGGGGGCCACATCACAGATGACTGGGATCGCAGGCTGTGTCGGGTGTATTTAGAGGAATTCATGAATCCATCTCTGGTAAGACATTTTTAAAAATTCACTGAGGAGAAACTTCTGGTAAGAATTATTATTGCACAGAGGTATATATGTGGAGGCTACAACGTGACTCTGAAAATGTCATTGTATAAATAATTCTTAGATGTTATTGAGGATTCCTGGCTTTTTGTGAATGCATTCTGGCTCACCTTCACGGGAGCTAGAAATGTGTTCGAAATGCAGGGTCTTGGGCTGCATCCCAGACATAGAGGATCAGAATCTGTGTTATGACAGGTGGTTTCTGTGCCCAGGGGAAGCAGTGTCTCACACACTGACTCACTGGCTTTTGGAATAGCCGGGTGAGGTGTGCAGAACTGACAGTTACCCCATTTTATAGACAAAAAGACTGAGACCCAGTAGTTGGCCCCAGGTCACTCAGTCAACATGGGCAAGCGCTCTAGCCTGAAGACGGGTGTATTGATTTCAATTGGAGGACTCTGAAACTAGTGAAATTTACCGTTTTTCCCTGTCACAGAAGCCATGGAGTCTTCTAAGTTAACCACTAACCCTGACTGGACATGTGCTCAAGAGAAATGTGGTGGGGAACCCAGCTCTTCCTTTTGTGAGGCGCGGGAAGAGCACGCCTGTACTGGCATTTAGAGAGGAGGCACCCGCTGCCCATTTCTCATCTTTCTAACCCTGGGTCTGTGTAGACCAAACACCCATGTGGTTCATGACCAGGGCTGTGCTTTCTGGCCAAAGGACTCAGTCCTTGTTTCCCAGTGAAGTAGCTGTGAGCGGTGGCCACATTTCTCCCATGCTCTCTCTCTCAAATGGTTTCCAAGTTCATGGCCATCGAATGGTTATTTCTTGGAAACCCCGGAAGCCCTTCGTCATGTTATCTCAACTCCCAGTCGGACAAAACACCAACTGTGTTTAGAGCAGTGTGAGCAACCTCCTGTTTATCATTTCTCTGAGGACTGCGTCTCATAAAAACATTCTGTACTTTCAATCACCTTCCTTGAGTCCCCTTTGAGAAATGATATAATTATGTATTAGAAAACATGGTGTGTTGCAGTCTAATTGAGAAAATTGGGCACAGGTTCTTTTTTACTATTCATTAATGTTAAACAATTTGGGAACAATGCGGGGGGTGTAGGGGGGGAATCATTTCTTGCCATGTGACCCTTCCTTAAGTTAGTTTCTCTTGCTGGTGAGTCTCCTGGTCTTTCCTGAGTTCCAAGTGAGCAGAATTTCACAGGTCAGAGAGACACTTTCAATCTCACACAACCCAAGTCACTCCTCAGAAGAGGTCTGGAGCAGGTTACCATGGAGACGGGAAAGATAAACTGGGGTAGAGCGTGACCTGTACAGAGGCTGATTTCTTGGCATGATGGTGGAGGTCGGGGGCAGAGTGAGAAGCTCATATTGATGTTTTCTCTCTGGCTCTGGCCTGGGGGTAAGGAGCGAATTACTGTTGCCAAGCGAGACCGTCCATTAACCTTCACAAGTCTGAACTCCCATTCAAATAATTGTAAAATAAATACAGACAATAGAGCCTTGGTGGGGGACCGGGGCGGGGGGGACATTCCAGGAGTGTGCTAGCCCTTTAAAAAATTTCGGTGCAGATCTGGCGAGGTTTTCAGGATGGGAAGGCTTCATCTGCAATCTCACATCCTCTCTGGACAGTACTACCTACCTGTTCAACTCACCAAAGGAAGGTCAAGCCAGGGTGACTCCGTGGCAGAGGCTGTAGGACCCAGTGATTCTGTTCTCATGCAGACATTTCCTGCTCATGCTGTTTATAGTATTGGGAACTTGATCTAACACTTCAGCACCTGCCAGGGTCTTCTTGCCACTTCTCACATTGGTTAACTTATTTGGAAATGGGTATCTTTGGTTGCATTGGACTATGCCCAGAAAGCAACCAATGACACGGGGTTTCAAGTTATGCTGCTCAGAATACTCTGTGACATTGTCCTGTTAGGATGGGTGAGTTCCTTGTTGGATAAATGCATCTGCACTCAGGGAGGGTTCCCTGATGGCAGTGAGCCTTAGAGTGTCTCAAAGTTAGGCAATTATTAATATTCTCTCATGTACAGCGTGTACTTGGCAATGCAAAACAAGTAATACATTAAACTACTTTTGCAAAATAAGGTATTTAGTTACCTGAAAGTTGTCATATTTTAAAAACTATTTTGGTGAAATTAGCCTTGGCTGGTGCGGTTCGGTTGTTTGGGCATCATCCTGTGCACCAAAGGGTCGCTGGTTCGATTTCCAAAAGCGGCTGCACCATTTTGTAGCCACCAGCCATGTATGGGGATCCTATTCTCTCCACATTCTTGCCAACACGTTTACTGCCCATATCCTTTACCTTTTCCTGGTGTGTGTGAAGTGTATGGCATTGTAATGTTGACTTGCATTTCCCTAAATATTATGGTATTGAGCATCTTCTCGAAAGCAATGTCTGTTTAGAACTCTTGATTCTTTCAGGCATAACAGTCTTTTCAAACGGCCCTCCCCCACGTGCAGACAGATGCCACGTGCAGAGAGCTCTGTGACCCAGGCCCATCAGCAGGAAGCAGCTTTTCATAAACGCCCTGGAGTGGGCAGGGGGCAGGCCCGGGCTGAAGCAGGATTCACGGAGCTCCTTGAGTACGAAGCCTTTGCAGGGTCCTGAAAGCAGAGGGAGAACTCAAGTCCCTGTTCATACAGTTCATGTGTAACATGTCATTTGAAGCGGGGCTATGAAAAGTGTGTGTCCTGGGAAAGCATAGCTATAGAGTCCTACTGAAATGAAGTCCGAATTAATATTAACATCAAACATCTGCCTGGGCAAGTTACGCAAAATGGGGCTGTTTGGGAGAACCAAGGACTGGAAGCATGTGTCAAGGTGGTCAGTAAACAGGGTGGCTCAGCTGTTCCCTGGCTGTGCATGAATCCTGCTGCCCCAGGCAAACTTCAGACAGAGTCTTCTTAGGGATCGGCCTCAAGTGTGTTCCTTGGACTCCTACCGAGGTCAGCTTGGTGTCATCCACAGAGTAGAATGATCAATTATGAAAGAGCTGCAAAACGTTTTGGAGAGCTTGCTATACAGTGGTGTACTGGGGCTGCATAGCAGTTTCTCAGTGTTTAGGAAGCAAAGATGGATGCCCAGTTATCTAATTTTATTTTTTGAGAGAGAGTGAGAGAGGGAGCAGGGAAGAAACATCCATGAGAGAGACACATCGATTGGTGGCCTCCCATATGAGCCCCGACCAGGGCTGGGGATCGAACCTGCAACCCTTCGGTGGGTGGGAAGATGCTCTATCCACTGAGCTGTACCAGCCAGGGCTGATTGATGCCCCTTTTGTGTGGAATAACCGATTTCTCCTTTGTGGTGGAAGATTGAAGATGAGCTTCTGCTGGCACCAGGCTTTGCAGCGCCCCCTAACCTATCAGATTACTGCGGCTACCACCAGTACGTCGAGGAGACGCTTCCTCCAGAAAGCCCCACGCTGTACGGCCTGCACCCAAACGCGGAAATAGAGTTCCTGACAGTGACGTCCAACACTCTCTTCAGAACTTTGCTGGAGACGCAGCCCAGGAAAGCACTCGTCAGCCAGGAGCTGGAGCCGTCCACAGAAGACAAGGTGAGGGTCTTTCTTGTCTTCGTTACCGAGGCCTAATGTATACACAGTGCAATGCACTAACCCAAGTGTACAACTCTGTGGGTTTTTACCTTGGTATACACCCGTGTAACCACCCAGACCAAAATACAGAATATTTCCAATACTCCAGAAGGCTACTCATGCTCCTTACTGGTCAATATACCCTCCCTTCCAGCCCAGGGGTAACCTTGCTCTCCATATCTCTATCACCATAGGTTTGCTTTGCCTGCGTTTGAACTTCAGACACACACACAGCCATACAGCCATGTACTCAATGTGTGGCTCCTTCCATTGCACATTACATTTGTGCGTTTCATCCATGTGTGCACTGACCAATGCACAGTTCTTTAACCTGTGTAGGATGGACGTTTGGGTTGTTTCTAGTTTTTCTCTATTATGTATATCACAGCCATGAACACCCTTGTATAGTCTTTTGTCCATAAACAAAGGTAGTTCCCCAAAATATCCACTCATAATACTCATACTCAGAAGTGGAATTACTGGAGCAAAGGACACAATGTTAGCACACTAGCCATCAGATCGTATTATAGCAAGGCCCCAGGAACTTCCAGTGTTATTTCTTAAAGTTTTTCAATTACTTATTGCCATAAGGCCCTTTGTTGAGAAACTTATTTGTAATTTAGAAACTATAGGATGCGTTGCAGGGTATTGTGTTCTATATACTAACAGCTTCCATGTGAATGTTAGATTTTTTTTTTTAAAGAAAATGAACAAGATAAAAATTCATCCATTTGGGGAAAGGTATAGTTGTGAATAGAAGCAGGGAGGTAGACGAGGTTTTCATCTAGTTTTTGGATTTCAGTCTTTCCAACAAGGAAGCTGATCATTCAACCAGAAAATGCAAAGCAAATGAGGTAAAGATACCTCAACACCCCAGATAGGCAAAAAGATTGTAGCAACAACCATCTGTTGAGTGCTTACACAGGGCACTAAAGAAAGCGCTCAGGATAGTATCCGGATCCTTATTTCAGAGATAAGCTTACGCGACATCCCAAAGCCCAATGGCTAAGAAGGGCCAGTGAAGGAAACCAAATTCGAGCTGATTCTCAAGGCCATTCTTTTACCAAACTTCCAGACTACCCTGTGTTTCAGACTCTACCACTATTATAAATGAGTTTAAGATTTCAGAACCTGACAAGTTACCTGCCAGGGTGCTAAAGCAAATTGCAAGCCTGGTGTCAGCACCATAGGCAGTAATCTGAGAAATCAAGGAAAGAGGGAAAGTGTCTGAGGCTGAAGACAGGCAATACTCAGGTCTTCTGTCCATTGTAGGTATTTGTTAGTTTTCCACAGCTCGGTAAAGTGGCTTAGATAGAATAAATAGGCACCTCGGAGAACTACACACACATCCGTGTCTCCAGTGTTAAATCTTCATTCTTC